TTTATGTGCATCATTTCTAAGCTTGCTTGAACACATTTACTGGGGCTTGCTTTGCTCTATCAAATAATACGTACCATAGATTTTTATACCTTTCCTACAGCTCAAGGATAAATAACGAGCATTAATTATGCATCAACTACACGGAACTCTAAAGCGAATAGCGGAATCATAAGTTTGTTGGTGGGCGATGCTCGCAAACTGCAATCTGTAGAAAACATCAAGACAGACTGAACTGTATAGTTTAAAACAAATTCAGCTTGATCCTTACCAAGAACCGATTACTACCAAGTGGTTCCCTGAAAACTTAGAGCTGAAAATCAGCGCAAAATTTGCCACAAATTCTAGATTTCAGGAGACGGTGACGTTGACAGACGCAAGTCTCTAAGCATAGGTTTGATAATTCTTTTTTTTTCAATAGCATTAGCAGGACAAGTGTTATATTTCACAGAAAAAAAAATCAAAATCAACGGCGAGTGCTCAAAAAAGGAGCGGTTGATTGCGTCTATCACTTTTCTCCTGAGATTACTCTATATGTAAAAATACTACGTAATACATAGTCGTACTTCTGCAGTGTTTCATAAATATATTTTGTACTAAACTTTCAATAAGTCCCCTCATATCAAATCCTTGCCAATGATATTTTCAATCGCTTTGGAGAAAATCACTCCGGTTCTTCGACGTTGGCTTATGCAGCGCTTATTCAACAAGGACCTGCTAGAAATCAATGTAAAAACATATAACACTTATAATCTGGCAAACTATTTGGAGAAATCAATCAAAAAATAGCCGCGTACAAAAATCTTGACATTGTTACTACCACAGCTCTTGTCAAAACAGCAATGTTGAAGCATGCTAAAAATCTAGAGGCTAGTGCGTCATCCTTCGCAAGAGAGCCTCAGCCCTTTCCAAAAGAAATTGCTAAAAGGTAATGCGAGTACAAAGAATTTGTGATCAGCGCACCAAAATAACAGAGAATTTGGAGAATTTGCTTCGTATTACTCAATGTTTGAAATAGAACGATTTTTTTGCTCTCTATGCCATATTGAAGCTGTGGCATGCCCGTACAGCCTAGTGCTTCCTAGGTAATTTATGCTTGTATAAAAAAGCGTTCCATTTTACCCCCCACATTATCTCGCGTCGAACAATGCAAATTGTAGAAGAATGCTCAGCATCCGACCATATACACAGTATGAACTGATGCATTTACTTCCCTTCTGATCTCTTCGCAGCTGATGTTCGGTTTACAATCAAGGCCCAAGAGAGGAAAACATTGTCGAAGTCCTCCGCCCGTAGGTTGAGAAGTTATGCCGGACTACGGTACCTCCATTGTGCAAAAACGCGAACCACACGAATTTGAGACCACCGTGGCTGAAATATGTTTGGTGTGTGCGGAATACATTGTGAACCTTTTTTCATCTCTCTTTCTACATCAGTCTTTTTGTGTGCTGGTCATCATGCTGTAGTTCATATTTCACCCAGAATGCAGAAATCATGGCTTCAGATCAATTGAGTCTCCTTATAGTCTGACAAGCTTAAATTTTCGTTTGTTCATACTCTTTTGTTGTCTTAGGTCTGTTGAAACCACGATATTTATAGCGTATCTGTAGCACTCTGTTTTCTTTTTGATACTGCAGACAATCCTATTGAGCTTGATCTTGTTCCAGAGATGGTGAGCAAAAAGAAGAAGTTGAAGGCACAGAAGAGGAAGATGGCAGATTCATGTGAAGACATCAATTTGATCGAGGTTCCATGTCACAGACGCAAAGTCGAAGACGATGATATGGCTGTAGCAAATGGAAAGGAGAACAATATGGACCAAAAAGATGGTGAGATCTGAGAAACTGTCTTGAGGTTCACTCTTTATTTAGCTTCCCAGGAGCTCCTCAGTAAGTTTTTCTCAGGATTTTGCTTACTTCTTGTAAGTACAATGATAGTCTATTGCACATTGTTCGTCATCTAAGGAAATCGGGACCATTGCGGTTTTGCTAATTCCATCCTTTTCAAAAATTGTCTACAACATATTATGGAACCTCTCATTTCAACCCAGCTTATTTGTTCTCCTTGGATTCTGTTTCCCTTCCTGCATCATACTTCATTTTAGTTGAGGCCTTGCTTCCGACTCGCGAATCCCTAGCTCATCAACTCTTGGTGGCAGTCCGAGCCAAACACTTTGTAATTTTGGAGGTATCTTGACTGTTTCTTTTCCACTACAGAAAACTGAATTGCTCCTCGACAGGGTCCCATAGGATGCGGAAAGACATTCTTGTACTCATACATAAGCAAAGAACTGCGGTTGCCACTCCGAACAATGCAAATGGGAGATCAGATTGACTCAAAGGTAGTAGAAGAGGTTTGATACTCATTTTTCTTCATCATCTGCTCCATTTCAGAGTTTGTTCGGATATTATCATTGCACAGAAGTGGCTGGGCAGTTTATATGGAAGACTTCAAACTTTTGCCAAGTAAGTGATTGCGAGTGATTTGCTTAGGAGCTCTTAAGATGGGTTGAACTATGACAATAACTGCTTTCCCTTCGGTTTTGTTCTGGACCCAGATATAGTTCGAAAAGGGAAATAGGATATGATTTTCTCACTCATCGCTCTCCATTCTTTTGATCTTGTGAGGGATCCTTATGTCAGAGCACATACTTCAAATTTCAACGATTCTCACAATATTCTTTTAGTGGTTGAGCGAGCCATGCTTGATTTTGCTAGAAGATATTGACTCGGCTAATGCCGATGTAATCTCCAAAATTGTACAGTTGGCATCTGATAGACATGTTACTATTCCAACAGGAGAAGAATTGACATTCCATGAAGATGTCCGAATATGCGCCACAGTAAGGTATGTTCAGAAAGTTTCCAGTGATGATTTCTGGGTGTATTTCTGTTTTAGCGGCAAAGGTAAGAAAAATAGTGTGCTGAATGGTGTGCCAGTTCGACTATCCTTGAATGAATTGACAGATGAAGAATTGCGACGATTAATTGCGAAGGTTTGTTGTTTTTCTTCTTTCGGTCTGTAGTTTACTAAAGATGTCTTCCAGGCCTCGCCGAGAATCGCTCACCTAGCGAAAACGCTCATTTCTATCTTTCGATCTGTCCAATCTGTCCCTCCTACTTCCAACTC